GTTACTTTTTACGGCGAAATAGAAATAAAGAATGATCTGATTTGATTTCGCATAGATTTTTAAGAGTATAAAAAAGATTTTTGAATTTTGGTGATCATAAATTAAAGTTAGAGAAACTGTACAAAATTATCCTTTGATCTTGTGGTCTTAAAAATTCTTCCACTAATACTTTCTCCTCACCCAAATCTTTCTTGTAAGAGTCTAAGTCGTGATTCCTTTTCAATATGATTGATGATTCTCTCCCGTTAATTTAATAAGTTACTATTATCTCATCAACTAGCTAATCAGATACGAACTCGATTAAGGCAAAATCCTCATTTAATGTATAAAATACTTGCCTAAGTTGGACTTATCATCAAGAAAAATAAGACGTATGGTGTTACTAACGATTTTTTTCAAACTTGAAACGTTTTTAAATATTGAAAAGTTAGCCCACCCATGGTGTTATATGGATAAAAAAACATTTTAAGAAGAATTTTTCTTATTGTAAGTCAAAGACAAAAGAAACAATTGAGAGAAAAGATAAAAAGTATTTTAAGTAACTCAACTACGACTTTGTTGGCAAAAATGCATAACATGGGCACCATGATGATAATTAAGTAAATGAATAATTAAAATAATCATTTTTTAAGTATTAATTAAGATAATGACTGATTTATTATTATTATTATTAATTTGCCTTTTTATATTCAAAATCTCACTGGTAAAGCACAGTGCTCGAGCCACGAGGATAGTGGCCAAACCTTTTAAGGAATATGAGTGTACAATTTTGGATTATTCTCTACTGCTATCATGTTTTGAGTATAAAATTTTCAATTACTCGGTCGTTTGATAATTTAAATTTTTATTTTGTTGGTGAGAAGTTAAAATGGTGGCACACATTTATTTTTGTGGTTTGCGATATAATCGGATTTTGTCCCTTTTTAACTAATGAAGCTATTAAAAAAGAAAATATTACTTAAACTAGTGACGCAAAATTTTTAGTTTCATGTTTAATTATTTTTTTTGTTAAAAGTAATGACCAACAACACAAAAAGAAAGCCAACTTAATTAAAATGATATACTATAATTTATGAGTAGATTCAACTTGGTATGGCCTGTGTGAGAAACACAATTTGTGATGGCCCAAACCACTCAATGTACTTGGTTTTTATTTTGTATAAAATGGATTTAAATTATAAAAATGATAACTGTTTAAAAAAAAAAATTATACATGATTAGTGCAATTTTACTTGTGGTGAGATATTACTTTAATTTGTTAGGCTAAAAAGGTCCAATTATATTATTAATAACATGGTTTGATGATATTTGTTTATTTTGAGTTAAACTTAGTGGGTTATCATTAATAGTTTCTTAATTAGTACTCTTCTTTTTTCAGCTACCAATTACGATTTCGTTCACACAGACAACAATCTCCCCTTTAAATAATTCTCGTTAATATTTATTTTATATAATTCATATTAATCCATTATTTATCGCGATCGAAGCCTACCAATTTCTTTCTGTTTATGCACTTTCAAAGCTAGCTACTTGTATAAATAATAATAATAAAAGAATGGTGCATAGCTAGATAAAGTTATCAATTTCAGCCTCATATTTATCACTCTCATCTTTATACTTATCTCGTCGAACCATCAGTATAACACTGATTGTTGAAGTATTATAAAAGTCAGAAATATATACTCTTAACATGGTATATATAGTATCATTATCTTTCTTTACAACACACACTCTGTTAAAAATGATCTTGCCTTTATCGGTGGATCGAAAAGTTGTTAGCAATACGTGCTCGTTAATTTCTTACTATTTATTGTATTGAGTATCGTCTTTGATTAGCTCCCCAACTTTCATCCAACATTAATTCATTTATGAATGAGAATTGGATATACTTGTGCTTCAATGGGTGGATTTACCTAACAAAGAAGTGTTTTAGCAAAAAATGTGCTCTTATTGTGTAGTTTTGAGATAGCTACAACCAATTTCTACCTATACTTTTGAAAAGTGTTTGAAATCAAATTGAAATTTAAAATTATGTTTGATATAAGATTTGATTTTGCACTACTTTTTAAATCCAATGAGATGGAGATAATTGATAACGACATCGTACATTGTATTGAAATAAGGTGGATAAAACGTGCAATAAGAATCTATAATTAATGAGATGGAGATAATTGATAACGACATCGTACATTGTATTGAAATAAGGTGGATAAAACGTGCAATAAGAATGTATAATTAAAAAGAATGGAGATGCGAGGTATCGATCCCCGTACCTCTCGCATGCTAAGCGAGCGCTCTACCATCTGAGCTACATCCCCATGTGTCCTTTACAAAACATATTTCTTTATTTATACGTTATTTTTAGAATTGGATATATAATATGAAATAGAAAATTTCAAACGAAGAGGTGTTGTATACAAGAATGTGTGCAACTCCAATTATGGCATATATCTGTGACAAGAAAAGTTAGTTAGAAAGTATTAATATTGGATATATACATAAATATTTAAATTTGAAATTATTTCGTATTTATATCTTTCGATTTTAAGTAGACGCAAATAAATAACTTAATTTATATTAAACATAACTTTAAATATTTTGCGTGTGGTATCAATAGATGTTGAAAAAAATGGTTAAAAAAATTGCACCCTATTTAATTTTGTTTTTCCCCATTTCTCCTTATAAAATATAAATTAGATATTACTCCTCCTCATGATTTTTCTTTATGTTTGGTACACCCCCCTATGAAATTTATGAACACATTTGACTATTTTTTTTAAATGGCAAAATTTCACATTTAAAATTCTCGATCTGGCCATAAATAACATAGGCCGGCCAAAATAATTAGTCATTTAAAATAGATTTTTATTTTATTTTATATTTAACATTTAATATTCACATTAAAATTTTATTAATTTAAATTTATAATGCATCAGACTTATTTCGAGAATTACACTCTTTATTAAAATTAAAAGGGAGATACAACCATCACATATTTTGATGTTACTAAAATTATATATATATATATGGGATACTACAACGATGTGAACTCAAACTAGTCAAGTTAATATATATCTAGAATATCATATAATTAAATAAAAAGAATTTATTAGGGAAAAAAGAATATATACTAGCTTCCTCTTTTGCTTTTATCGTCGTCATTTCTTTAGACGTGAGAAAACACATTTACTTTTCTAAAACAAAATATAACAATTAAAAAAAAACATATAAATCAATACTTATTAAGTTGATTTTATTTTCTGTCGACTGTTTGATTTTTTCGTATAAATTAAATAAATAGAATGTATATTAATAAGAATGATTTCATGTATTATCAATGCCTTATTCTATTACATATAAAAAATAGTATCAAATAAGCTAAAACATATATCAATCACATCAAACTTAAATTTAAAACCAAACATTATATATGCTACTAAAAATTTAATATCAATATATTATTCTTATACACCGCACCAAACAACTGATATAATATAATTAAAATTTTAAAATAAACAAATTGAGATAACGTATGTTACAATGTTAATCTTGCCGTCCCATGAAGTAAGCATCCAGCAAACCAAGTCCTCTTATCACTTTTTTTCCTCATTTGGTGTTTAGAAGTCCATATCATCCGTTTGACTAAATCAAAACCATATATAATAGATTTTATTTCAATGTAACATTCGGAATAGGATTTTCTTCATATTCAAGGCTTGAATTCGAAACCTCTAATTAAAAGTGAAAGTCAACATTATAACACAGTCCATATTCGCTCTTCGAATCTCAAATGCTTTAAGAAAACATAAATTATCTACTGATATTAAAAACTAAAATCAGGGATAAGAAAAGGGAAACTGAGAAGAAGATTATAAGTTGAAATTCATATCGTCATTAACAAAATAAAATTTTAAATAATCATTCAATTAAGCTATTAAAATTTACCCAACTACCTTAAATTTTATATAAAATTTGTCCTTGGAATAATCATGTTATAACTGAGCATATGTTTAAATTATATAACTTCTAAACTAAAGGTTGTTACAGCTTGTAACCTTTTTAATAAATTATAATCTGATTATCTTTTATCTTTATAGTTACGTAATAAATAGCTAAACCTATTATTTATTTATTTTTTCCAATATGTAGTAGAGCAAAAATCACAACCTATTTGTCCAGCAATAACTGCTATTTTGCCCTTTTTCATATTCAATATTTTGATTACATAAATGAAATTAAAAAAAAAATATTAGGTGGTCAAAATCAGACAAATGGTCGATGTGATCTGTTCAAATATATCAAACTTTGGCATCATCATTTCACACTTCCATTTTCAATCTTCAAGTCAACTTCAACTTCACTTTTAAATTTAAAAAGTAATATAGCATCGATCTCAATTAAAAATATATTTTTTTTCTTTAAATTTAATACGATATTTAAAAGTTTTTGAATTTTCTGATTTTAAAATCAATAATATGAAAAAACATAATAAAAGAAGTTGTAAATTTTTTTTTAGATATTTCCATTTTTTTAAAAAGAAAGATCAACACAAACAATTGAAACTAACAGAGTAGAATATATCAAACTTTTGTCTTGTAATAGTAAATATGTCACACCACATAAAACATTAAAATGGAAAAAAAATCATGAAAAAGACAAAACAAAAATTATTAGATTAAAAGAAAAAGAGGGATAATCACGTTAAAGTGGAGGATGTATTAATTAATGACGTAATATATAAATATATCATTTAATTCAAATTAATATTTATATTTTTTAATTTAATATACATAATTAAGTACTTAAATTTATATATGTTGTCTAATATAATGTAATACAATATACATAAGAGGTGAATTACCTCTTAAAATACCTAATAAAATGTATATTTAAACATGAATATTAAATAAAGTCAAGTTAAATGACGTATTTTTCATGTATAAGCCATTTAATATTATTAGTTGTCACTAGACTTCTAGTTATCTTCTTAATCACCTCGATAATCACGTCACAAAATTGACAAAATCGAAAACAAGTTGCTTACCAAATCACAACAAGTGTTAAAATTTGTTCTTCATAAAAACAGAGCATTATATAACAAAATAGATATGAAAACAAGAAAATGATACAATCAAATCAAATGGATCCCAAAATCTGGAGTCGATTACCAGAAGATGTATTAGAGCATTTGCTTTCATTTCTTCCATTAAAAGCTTTCTTGAAACTCAGATCAACTTGTAAGCATTTCAAAACTCTTCTTTTTTCACCCCCTTTCATTTCTAAACACTCCCCTTCTTCTTCTTCTTCTTCTTCACCTTTTTCTTCGTTTTTCTTACTTTCACATCCACAGTTTCCTAGACAATACCCTTTATTCGATACTGTTCATAACAACTGGCGGAATTTATCTCTGTGTATTTCCCCTGTTTTGCCATCTTCTTCCTCTGTTCTTTTATCTTCCTCTAATGGGTTGCTTTGTTTTACTCGCCCAAGTTCTACTTCTTTCATTATAACTAATGTTTTAGCTAGATCTTCTAGGGTTTTAGAATACCCAAATTTGCCTTTTTCTTTTGAGTCTGTTACTTTGATTTCTTCAGCTAATAATGGGTATAAGCTGTTTGTGATGTCTGCTTTTGGATCTTCAAGTAAAGTTTTTGTTTATGATTCTTTGGTTCATTCCTGGAGTCAATTTGGGGGATTTGATCGGATTTTAAATGAGAATCATCATCAAGAAGGGGTTTTTCATGATGGGTATTTGTGGTTTATTACACCGGAGCCTTATTTTATAGTTTCTATTGATCTTGATAATGGGGTTTGGAAAAGATCAAATTTTGAGCTTCCTAGTGAGGTTACTTTTGCTAGATTGGTGAGTGATGGGGATAAAAAATTGTTCTTGATTAGTGGAAATGGGAGTAATGGGATTTCAAGAAGCATGAAGTTGTGGGAATTGAATGGGGATTCTAAGATTTGGATTGAAGTTGAGAATGTGCCTGAATTGATTTGTAGGAAGTTTTTATCTGTTTGTTATCATAACTATGAACATGTTTATTGTTTTTGGCATAAAGGGTTGATTTGTGTGTGTTGTTATTCTTGGCCTGAGATTTTGTATTATAAGGTTTCTAGAAGGACTTGGCATTGGCTTCCTAAATGCCCTTCATTGCCTGATAAATGGAGTTGTGGATTCAGATGGTTTTCCTTTGTTCCTGAGTTATATGCATTTGTGTAATAGTAACATCTGCCGCAGTGGTGGGACTGCTCCACCCTTAGTCAGAGTTCTCGTTGGGAGCGAATCCATGAATGGGCCTGCCAGAAGTGTATGATTTGGATTTAGTCGGGCCTGGGCGGGGAGAAGAAAAACATCAACCGGTTCTTGAAGGTGAAATCCTGTACTCCTGGAAGTGTTTGGTGTTTGTTTCTCGACTCTCTTTATTTTTGTTTTGTTTTGGTGTATATAAAGTGGTATTATCTGTGGTTTATTTGTTACAGTTAGCAGTGATCTATCATTATATGAAAATAAACCTTGTAGAAGCATTGTTTGGTTGAAAGAATTTGTGTTGTTGAACTTTGGTGTACTTTGAAAGCAGTTGAAATGTATTGATCTTCGAATGTGATTGATGTCTCCATTGTTGTGCAAAAGAACTTGTTCTGGAGTGCCTACTTGCGCGATACTTAATTAGGTTATCTGTCCAATTTTGATTACATTTTGTGGTCCTTGGATCTTCATGAAAGGTTCTTTAGAGAAACCTCAGAGCTCAAATCCTAGAGCTATATAGGTTGAAAGCTGACACTTCACTTGAGGGTCCGTCTATCAGAAACAGTCTTTCTATCTCCACGAGATACTAATATGGTCTGTGTACACTCTGTCCTCCTCAGACCCCACATGGAGATTCCACCGGGTATGTTGTTATTGAAAATATCAGATAATGTCATTGGAGATTTGAGTTTTCTTCATATTGGTGTAGGGATCTAGACTGTAAGAAGATATAAACCAGATGTATGATCTGAGTGAAATGCAGATCTGTCCATACTCAAGCTGTAACTTCTAATTGTAGTATCGGAGGCTTCTGAACGACGGTTTGTAATCTCACAAAGTGGGGTCTTCGTAGGATAGAGTGTAAACAGAACTTCCCCATACGTTGTGTAGGTAGAGAAGTTGTTTCCAATAGATCCTTGGCTCACGGATCACAAAGTAAGCTAGTGGCATCTGTTCCTACAAATGAAAATTAAACCGCAAATTTTTTTAATTCATTCCACATAACAACTTTTTTATTCTTCAACTAATTTGGAGTTAAATTATACTACATCGTTGCATCTCGAAATGGACAAGTCAAAATTGTACTGGATTATTGGATTTGAATTTTTTTAAAGAGTGAGAGATATTTGGATTTCAACTTGAATGTTTTTATTATTATTTTTGTTCCTTAAATGCATTTTTTCATCCGTAATTTATTGTATTTTAACCAACAAAATACAATACCAAGGCAAAGTTAGTGTTTTAATTAGGACATCGTTTAACCTCTTTATAATTATTTCGTTTGTTCGGATATTTTTCTATATTGTTATAACATAATGTTATTTTTATAGAAAGAAAAAAAACTAATTACATAAAAAAAAAAACATAACCGTTAAATGAAAATATTACTCCATTTATTTCAATTCGTTTGTTTAACTATTTTTTTAAGTCCGTTTAAAAATAACTTTTTTTTACAAACTCTTTCATTTTAATATTTTTCATATAAGATTATGAAATTTAAATGTCTTATATATTTTCTTATTAAATACCAACTTTTATCTTACAAATAGAAAGTATAGAAATGTAAGAGGAACCAATCATCACTTTGCTTTGTGGTCCACAATATATCTATAAAATCCATTAAAAATTAGCCTAGCTTAAGATCTTGTATTGACTTTTCTTGAGATTGATATGGATAATGAAAATGAATGCCCCATCATGACTTTAAGTTCAAGTTCATCCAATATTCAACATATATCCATCAAATTTCATCTTTAATTATTTTCAAAAAAATTTGCATTTAATTTTGGGGATGTATACTAAACTTATGACATTTGTGTTTTGTCACTTTCAAGACAATTAAAAGAGAGCAGAAAACATAGACTACTATCTCTAGTTCAAAATAAATCAATTTTCGATAGATTTCGAAATCTTTTGTCATCCTTGATATATCGATCTCCTCTCTTGGTGTCTCTGTTCGACATTAACTTATTTAGGGTACTTGGAGATCTTTGCTCGATGTCAAATGTAATGAGAGTCTAATTTTATTATTACTAGAGAGAAGGTCTGGCCTGTTGGGATATATATTATTAATCATGCATTAAGAATATATGTACATTTAATAGTTTAAAGAATATTCTTTTGTTAAAATTTACTAGCACAAGAAGTTGGAACTATATCATTCCCATAATCAAGATAAACTTCATATAATTTAGTGCTACAATCGTAGCGATGATATGTCTAATTCCCGTCTAAGATTGTGAACAAAAAAAATTATACTTGTAAAAATCGATAATTTAATCCTCTAATATAACCTTAAACCCTATGTACTACATCATCTATTATATAAGTAAACAGACAGGATAAACGAATATATGATCTATTAAAAATAAATAAATAATTGTTCTATAATAACTGTTATATCTAAACACATTGTTAATAGTATATATCATAATATGAACAACTCTTTAATGTAATGCAATGCAAATACCGAATACCTAATGAAAAATAATAATTGATTAATGTGTGCTTCTAAATTGTTCTTTCTTCTCCATCTTTGAACACTTCGAGATACAAGAGTAATAAAATGAATTGATACTTTATTTGTATACAATAATTTTTTTATTTGTATATAATATATATGTTATTCGAACCAGCTATTGGAAAATGACCTATAAATTATATTTCTTTCATTCGGCATTTTTGGACTACGTCAAGCTGAACACGCATTGTCTCATTCATAGATTTAGAATATACTCACAAAATATATGACAATTGACAATATCGCGTTATAAAAAAAATTATTAGCAAAAAATAAATGAATAAATCACTAAGGGAGTGTTCGAGGTGAAAGGTTATTTTTTCGTGAAAATTAAATAATAATGAACCTTTTATAATAATTCGGATTGTCTCCCAGCTCGATGAAAGAGAACCCCAGTCTGCACGTCTTCAAGATAAAATTAATCATGCAATCTTCTATTATTTCAAATTCTATTTATCTTTTTTCTCAATCGACCAGCAAGACAATGTATTTAAGCACGAGGGGATTGAACGTCGAGATTGGTAGAGTGTTGAGGATTAGAAAAGACAATAATAAAATGTCACGTATGAAATTTATTATTTTTATATTTTAACTATTATTATAATCACTTTTCTAATTAAAGAAAAAAATCTTGTTTTTATACGAATATTAAAAAATATTTTACAGCGTTATAAATAAACTTGTACATGGAGAATGATGCAAGTATAGTAGAAATAAATGAAATCTTTTATATCATATTTTATGGGTCAATTCAATAGCGTCGATCTAATTAGAGGTCGTTTTTCCATTATAACAATAAATATTAATTTGTTGGCACTAAGATATAAATAAAATATGTAATCGTGTTTGGCCACTACTATCCTCTTTTTTTTTCTTTTTCCGTTTTAGGGTTTTGCTTTTTTAAATTAATGATACCCACTAAAAAAAGACTAATTTTAGAAAAAGAAAATTAATATCTCCATAGGCCTAAAATTTTAGTCCATAATTTCTTCACATGTGAAAACAGATTAGCATAAAGCTTCTATCTATTCACGTGGCAATTTTTAATATAGTGATAGACATGTAATTTCTCTCGAATCATCAAATATTACAGTTAAACGATAAATATTTATCCAACGTTTTTGATTAAAAATTTCAACTATTGAATTTTGATTTTGGATATAAATATTTTTTAAAAAAAAAATATTTTACTTGTTAATATGAGTTTTCAATGCAAATTTGAAAGTAAACGAATAAAAAGAAGAAATCTAATGTGTACTTTATATTCTTTTATTTAATCATCATCAATTTAACTTATAGTTAGACTTTGATAAACTCAATAATAATTTTATCGCTTTCGCTAGTCTACCGTTCGTAACACGCTTTAAAGTTGTCACAATATTTAATTATTAGTATAAATTTTAGAAATTACATGATTTAGATATGAAAATTAGAATAAAAAATAATTTTTAGCGACATAAATTTTGACATTAATAAAGAGTGTTAAAGTCTTTATTGGCATCAGTTAACTGTCATTAGAACTAATATCGCTAAATGCTTTAGGAACATATACAAAGAGTGAATATTTTCACTAAAAATATATATTTAATGGCAATTAAGAATTAAATATCGCTAATGGTTATTTTTGTTATAGTGGAAGGTAACACAAACAAGATACATCATATTAGCTCGAATACATTGAAGAGTATCTCGAATACATTATAACATAAATCGGATGTATAATATGTATCTTGGATACATTAAAAACTAGCTCGAATACATATGTAGATCTGATACATCAAAAACTAGCTCAGACAAATTAAAATTAACTCGAATATATAATAAAATAAACCAATAAACTAAATACAGTAAATATTGGCTGAGATACATTTATATGTAGCTCGGATTCATTAAAGAAATAAGTGCTTCTAGATTTTTTTAGAAATAGAAGAAAATATTAAGATTAAGAAAAATATAAGACGTGTATTCAGTAATTTTCCTAATTATAATTCGTTAATATACTTTTTCATTTGAATTTATAATTTAACTATGCTATTAAATTTTTACTGATTCTTTCACCGTGTCCTATGAATTGTTCGATAATTATTAGTCAATTACTAATTATTTTCGTGATATAAACCTTATATTAAAAATAGTTTTGTAAAAAAAGTTAGAGCAACAGACAAGGAAACTGAGTGTTGGTTGATGAAAGATCATTTAACTACTTCGTAATCATAAGTTAGGTACAAAAGAAGAAAGTTTAATTATCATCATAATTATATGCCACGTAAGCATGGAAAGTACTTAATCTTAATTTAATAAAAAGGCTCAGAAAAAAAATATTAATAAAGAATAACAAATTAGCTTTTTCTTTAATTATTTTCTCTATTACCAAACACTTATGTAGGACCTTTTAAATTTAATTCAATGTTAGCCATTAGGCATAAAAAGGGAATCTCCATAAACCTGATAATATCAGCTGACCAATATTTTTATTCCCTTTCTTTATACCCATATTTAATGTGTTTAAAGCAATAATTTATCGAAAAAAATCAATCTATCTATAAAAATAAGCTTTGTGCATATATTTTACAATTTTTCTGGATTACGTTAATTTAATAAATGAATATTTGGTATATGGATCGAGAAAAGAACTTGAGAAGGGTAAGAAAATCAAAATTAAAAAGTAATTTATTATTAAAACGAGCATATTTTTAGATATTTCTTTTAACTTAATGATATAAGATAAATAACAATATCGTATAGCATATACAAGAGGTTACTAATGTGTACACATAAAAATCATGCTCATCCCAAAGGCAAAATAATCAAATTTCAAACATATTATCATACTTTATTAAATGGTACGAAAATTTGTATTAAATTTATTGAATAGGTATTTGAATTATATTTACTTCTAGACATAGTAAATTAATGGATCTTCAATCTAAGCATTGAAGTACCTTATTTGACATGTAGTGAAGTTTTTAAATCAAGATTTAATTTCAGTAGACGTATCAATTTATACCAAATTAACAAATATAATTGTTAATGGATAAAAATGTAGAAATAATCGAATACGAACAAAATCTCAAATTAATATCTTAAAAATAGAAAATTAGTAAGAAACTACGTATAAAACATAGTGACACTTCTGATAAAAGAGACACATTATTGGAGAAAAACATATGAATTTGAACAAAAAGAAAACGATAATATTTATCACTACAGTATAATATAATATATAAGGAATATCATTCGTGAATATCGATCTAAAAAATACGTTATTTGTACACTTATTTCAATTATGTAATAGTTGATGGAGATCTTAATTTTTCTCTTAATCATTCGATTTTTAATCTTATCTCCATAAAAAATAATTCATAATAATTAAAAATTTTAATCTTATCTTTAACACAAATAATTTTATATTCGATATCATACTTTTGAAACTCTATATTTTTGTTATCATAACATATATCCTTACTATCTTGGCTCCAAAAATTTTATGAACATAATTAGTCACTCCACAAAGATAATACTTGTCGTTATTCCTATAAAGAAAATACATTTTTGTAAACATGAACAAAATTCATGTTCATTAGGTCTTCTTTTGAAAAAAATAACTATAAATATTAAAGTATTATAAATTTTAATAATTAATTATTTATAATATTTAAATTTAATAATATGTCACATAAATTAAATTTAACAAATGAGCACCTTCGAGGCACGGTTTTAAAGAGACTTTCACACGTGCTAAGGGACTGGGATTCGGTACGGTCAACCACGTGTCTTCTCTTTCTCCTACGCCCTAATATATTCCTCCTCTTCCCATTGACCAAAAAACATAACCTCTTTCCTTTTTCTCTTTAACGCTTTCAGTCACCAAAACGTTGTCGTTGTAAGCCTCTCATTTTATTCCCCACACACTCGCCGGAGATTATTTAACGGCGACGACGAAGACTTAATTAAGTGAAAGCATAATCTCTGACGATGGAGACTGAAATTCAATCGAATTTCACTTATATGGGACGGACCTTCACTAATCTCAGTATCAATGGAAGTTCCTCAGCTTTCAGCGATTGCAACAGTGATGTATCCGGTGAGTTTCCAACAGCTTCTTCTCAAAGCCGGCGGTTGTTTTTGGCTTGTGCGTCGGAAAATTCTGATGAATTAATCGAACAACTCGTTTCCGATCTCGAGTCTAGTTCAATCGATGAGCAAAAACAAGCGGCGATTGAAATTAGACTCCTAGCGAAGAATAAACCGGAAAATCGTATTAAAATAGCTCGAGCTGGAGCAATTAAACCGTTGATTTCGCTAATCTCCTCCACCGATCCTCAGCTTCAGGAAAACGGCGTTACGGCAATTCTCAATCTGTCTCTTTGCGATGAGAATAAGGAGCTCATCGCTGCATCAGGAGCGATTAAACCTCTAGTACGAGCGCTTAAAGTTGGAACCTCAACAGCCAGAGAGAACGCCGCTTGCGCTCTTCTCCGGCTATCGCAAGTTGAGGAGAACAAAATCGCAATCGGTCGTTCAGGTGCAATTCCTCCGCTAGTGAACCTTCTAGAAACCGGAAATTTCCGCGGCAAAAAGGACGCATCAACTGCTCTGTACTCTCTCTGTTCTGTGAAAGAGAACAAAGTGAGAGCAGTACAAGCTGGCGTGATGAAGCCTTTGGTAGAACTAATGGCGGATTTCAGTTCAAATATGGTGGATAAATCAGCGTTCGTTGTGAGCGAATTGATATCAGTGCCGGAGGCAAGGCCGGCGCTGGTGGACGAAGGTGGAATTCCGGTATTGGTAGAGATCGTAGAGGTCGGATCACAACGGCAGAAGGAAATTGCCGTTTCCATTCTGTTACAGATATGTGAGGATAGCGTGGCGTACCGTACTATGGTGGCTCGCGAAGGAGCCATTCCTCCCCTCGTCGCTTTGTCTCAGTCCGGAACCAGTCGCGCCAAACGAAAGGTAAAAACAAATATTATTATATTATTAAAAATATAAGTCTATTTTCTATTGCGTAGATTCGAGTATATCAAAAACGAATATCGAAAATTCAAACATATCTTCAAATAACTTGAGATTATTAGATTAAAATATTTTCAAATTGTTAATTGATTGCACTTAAATGTTAATCCAACCGTTAACATTACCAACAATTATTCACTCGATTAATAATTATTATCACAAAAAAAATACTTTATAACAGTGAGGTGTTGGGGAATTGAACATGGACATATCTTTACTGTTAGGTGTATGAAGTAATCGTTTCTGAACAATGTCTACCCATTTGTCTGTAGCTTTTTAGGGAACAAATTATTGGTTAAATTCTCTTCCTGAAGATTAATACTGCTATATAAAAGTTCAAATTATAGTCCTATTACTTGTCCTTCTCTTAGCCACACGGTTAGTGACCAAATTAAGACTGATTTATATATGTATACTCCTAACTTTTTCTCACACATTTATTAATTTATTATGATATAATAAACTTAATAAAATGTATGGCTGACTCTTTCTTTTATCCCAAAAGTACACCCTTCTACCTGTTACCTAATGATTAAGAAAAGGAAAAAAGAGAAGACAATACATAAATAAAAAGAGTAAAATATACACACATTATTTAGAGATTGAAAGTAAGTGGTATAGGTGAGTTTATAAATAATTTGCTTAAGTAGGCATAAAGTATATTGTATTAGATTAAAGCTTCTCGTCTGATCGAGTTGATTGAGCCTGAGATCTGTTTCATTGTACGGGGCTTGTCTAGTGATATTTACTATTGGTATTTTATTTTGTATAATGAGTGTTTTTGTGTATTGTAATTGGGGACAGGCGGAGAAACTGATTGATCTTCTACGGCAACCAAGATCCGGTAACGGCGCTGCAACAGCAGTAGCAAGAACCTCTGGTGTGCCAGTCTGAACTTGTGTCCCTACATGTTTCTCTCTTTTGTTCTTTTTCTTTATTTGTATTATACCAGTCCAACAAAACCACAAATTATCATGGACAAATATACAAAACAAAAAAATATTAAAAATTAAAAATTGTAAATGTCTTCTGTTAGAAGTAGTAGTGTAGTTTGTAAATTTGGTGGGTTTTGATTTTTGGCCAAGGCTTGTGTTTCTTGAAATTGTGATATGAAATTGTACTACTTTTTGTTTGTTTGGTTTATACTTTACCTTTTTACTTGTATCCAGATTGTTCCTTATTCCTTTTGATAAGTGGCGTATTGTTTAATTAAAATCAAAGTCTGCTACGTGAAAAAGCAAAAGTAAGTCATTGTTACACGAATCCTTTTATATAACGCCAATATAAACAAAAGCGTCTCGAAGAATCTCTTTGGTTTTCTTTCTTCACAATTAATCGACTATATATTTTTAAATTATCCTTTTTTGCGTCTTGTAATGATGTGTTACCAATTTCCGCCATTGACGTAGCCACACACAACACAAAGTGTCAGAGTAGGTAAAAGTTCACTCACAATTTAGTTTTTACGATTGAATTAGATTTATTATTATAGTTTTTACGATTGAATTAGATTTATTATCATGTTTTTATGAATAAGTATATTAATTAATTTTATCTATTAACAAATAATTTTTTTTATATAAGCGTGATTTGATAATTTAGTAGGTCGAGCAATTGGCATATTGAAGTTTTACTATTTATTTAACATTCAAATAATATTAGATCATTCCTAAGTCTTTAACCTAGGAGATAGGAGAAAATAAAATAAAGGGTAGAAATTAGCATATTGATTTTAACTTCAAACAAAGATTTCAAAGTTAGTTATTCTTTGAAAAGTTCCACTTTGTCCCACATAATTTAACCTAACATGAAGTTTACGAAAGAAACTAATACCTTTTTTATCTATTGGTAAATCGAAGTTTTACTATTAATTCGCTTGTTTTGCCTTTTTATTTTCATTTAAAAAGGATCATCTTTTCATTTGTCAACTTTTTAATGCATTACAAAAAGGTTTGAAGACTAAATTTTTTGTTTTAATTTTCTGCCTGACATATTTAAAATCATAAAATTAAAAAATATTTTTATATATTTCATTTATCTTTAACGTCAAGTTAAAATAAGACAAACAGATTAAAACGGAAAAATCATAATATAACAAACAGCATGTAAGTCTATTCATCACATGGGTGTGTAACATTATAAATCGATATCATTGATTGGACATAGATTGAAAATTATGGAAACATGTCTTTATGTTGAACGAAGCTTGGTGTGTATCTGTATTTTAGTGTCTTCTTTGATTCGAAATGACTCTTCATTGGGCCCTTATATTAACCTATCTTCGTTGGACATGTGAACATATCAAATTTAAATCAAATGTATCTATGCTTTCCTTTTTTATTTTAAATCTTGTAACATTTGCAATCTTATCATCATAATATATTTGTAACCATACTAGAACAAGAACGTGTTTGTGGATCTTTGCACCCTTTGATAGAAACATATTTCTCCTCTGCTTCAATTCGTTTGTCCTGTGTTTTTTTCTAGTCTATTTTAAAAATAAATGTCTCTTTTTCTTATTCGCCAGCTCTTTAGTTTTAAATTTCTATATAACATGCTTATAGAACATTTTGATATATTCTATGTATCTTTAGTTCAATATCACAAGATTTAAAGTTATTCTTTTTTTATTTTCTTAAATTTTACATTAAATTAAAATAAGATAAACAAATTGTAATAGAAGGAATAATAATTAGAATATCAAAAGCATATATAAAAAGAATTCATTAGAATCAATATTCAGTCAAAGGAGGGACCGAGGCGTTAGGTAATTTCATTAGAATCAATATTCAGTCAAAGATAGATTTTAAAATTCTAGAATCTTCTTAAGAATATGATTTAAAGATAAAGTTATCAAAAAATTTCTTATAAATATATCTAGAAGCATCTATAGACATGTATAAATAAAGGACGCGACATTAGGTTTTTGTAATTGATTCAAGAAAAATCAATTTTCTGGTTCTTTTCATTACAAAGTTTTATCATCCTGATCCTCCTTCTCCTTTCATGCCTCCTCTTCTCTAGTTAAATCTTCTGATCGTACTTATTAACAATCTAGAGCTTCTAAAATTGTTAGCAGGATCGAAAAATTTAACTAAAGAGAGGAATCCATGAAGGAAGAACGGGGATTTGGATTAGAGAACTTTATAATTTTATTTTATTTTTTTTGCTATGAAGTATAGGTCTTATTAACTCCATCGAGTTTTGTTACTCTAAAGTGGTTGTTGGAAGTCGCTCGAAGGAGTTTCCTTCTTTATGCTCTGGCTCGGTCTTCATGATAGAGGAGGAAGAAAAATTTGATTTTTCTCGATTATAATTAATAAAGTTTTTTAGCATTAATTTATTTATTTTTAAAATTATGAATTTATCATTTATTACAAATTTTTGTTTATGTTACTCATAACTTTATTCTTTATGTCAAAAATATCAAATCCGGATAAACTGATGTCACCACTCTCCACCTGCCCCTTGTTAGAAATGTATATAAATCTCATGATGATACTTGCTACTACTTTTACAATTTCTTTAAATTCTCATACACCATGATTGCCTTGTTAAAGCTATATCATAAAGGTCAAATATCATAGTATAAGGAGTTGAAAAAAGTGTAATATATTAAGCTTTAATTATGGCATAACATGTTCAAAGTTGTGTAGACGTTTTACCTATTGAAATTGAAAAATGCAAAATAGCGGAGAAAACGCCTTGATATAAACAAGTAAACTACTACTATAGATTATTACAACTAGTGCTACGTTTTGACTCGATTGAAAATAAGCAAATACAAACAAAATTAAGGGTCCTCTACATTGAAATTTGAGTAAATATTATTAGTTCACATGTAAGTGGTGTTCTTTTTCCTAGTATCTGGTGTCTACTAGTACATGGACTTTAGTTCAAGTAAATTCAGATTCGCACTAGCAAATTATTTTCTAACAAAGGCGATTCGATATTTAGCAGAATTTAAATTTAAAATATCTTATTAAAGATGAAAAAACATCTATTATTCCACCGCAAGTCTAAAACCCTTGTCGCTTTACAACTATTGGACCAATCAAATATTTATTTTGAGTGATATTTTTAATATTCTTAATAAAAGAATAATATGTACAAATAGGGAAAGTTAGGTTTTACCTTATGACAAACCTTAACGAGGTCAAATACCTCTACTATTATTAGCAAGCATATAATAATTAATACGAATTGAACTTGGAAAATCAGAAAAAACAAATACTCTATTGATCACAATATAATTGTTTACACACTATAATAATATTTCAAATAAAAATGTTGATAAAATGGTAATATTACCTTTTTTCTAATCTTAGTATTCACTTTACTAAAATATTTTAGGGGTGTGTTTCTCAAATTAATAACTAATAAGTGATGTTGTATGTATGAAACTCACACTCTCAAATATGAAATTAAAATTAAAAAAATAGTTTAAATGTGTTTTTAACTCTTATTAAAATATACATGGATGGTATTATAATGTAATTGCTACATTTTTTATAACAAAGAAGTGCTAAACTCTTTTGATTGATCTGTATTTTTACTACATAACAATGATCTTTAGCGGCAATTAATTAACGAATATAGTTCAATTGTCATTATTATGTATTTTTAGCTACATTAACATTTTTGTATATGTTCCTAAAGTTTTAAGCGACATTAAATCTAATGATACTTAACTTATGCCGATAAAAATTTTGACACTCTTTATTAATATATTTATTTATTACGGCTAAAAATTGCTTCGTCGTATTGTTGGGTGAAATATAGAACTAGATAGCCATTATCAAAAAAGAAAAATCAATAGAGATTTGAAAACTGAAAAGTAAAGACTTTAAAAAGCTTTTACAAAAGTTGTTTTTTTAAAAAAATACTTTTCCTTTATAATTTTTGAATAAAAACCACAAGGTTTACCTAAAACTTAGACAAACAATGTTACATTACATCAAAGTACTTCACTAGATCTCCCACATGCTTCATGTTCTATACAATCCCAAATTTATGTCCCTACTAGAATTTGTATGTCGTTAACTTTATCATATTGTGTTAAATTAGGCTTGGGCCTAGCTCGCTCATTCATTCATTCATCGATATAGGCATCCCCCTCTCCTCTCCCTCCTCTCATGTTCAAATTCGATTTTTTTAAATTTCAGATTTCATTCTCCGGCACGATGGATAATATTCTTTCATTTCCTCTCCGAATCTTATCCATTGTCCTCGGATCTTTTATTAATACGTGATATTCATTCATCACTCCTTCTTCTCCTTTTTGCATATTCGGATCTGAACATTCTTTTTATTCTAAATTTTATTGTCTGATTTCATGTGTGACATTTATGGATCTAAGGTATTTTCAATATCGCAATTATCCACAGGGGAGGTGTTGGGCGTACATCAAAATTCGTCTCTAGTACTGTATTAAAGAACCTAACTTACATTTCAAAAACTATATAATAAAGAAGAGGATTAGTGCTATAATCATATTTTAAAAATCCCCAAAAATTCCTTCTTTTTTTTTTCCATCGACGTATGACATTTCATTCATCATGTTGGTGTCATATAATACTTCTAGTCTTGTTTAAAAGTGGAAAAGATAGTGGGGAAATTTATGTCAAATTGACAAGACACATTACGTTAATTGGTGAGGCCACACGTACGTAGTTAAATATGGTGTTGTTAATTCCACGTCAGGGGATTTCAATTTTCAAATTAAAACGTGGAAAGAGAGTAAAACATAATAATTATTCTAAACAACCAAGGAGCACTATGATTATGTTGTACTACTTGTTTTTATAATATTTGGATTCTCATTTAGGAGGCTTTATATGCTTAGTTTGACAAATAAATAACTAGAATTATATTGGACTTCAATAAATGATATGAAATTAGCGATAGTTCAAAAAGAAATTTTAGCAGAAATGACAATTGCAGTTATATTATTTACTATCCATACCTTATTCAGCGTTTCAAAGGTCACTAAAACCTATTGTGATTATTTTCACAAAAAATCATAAATTAAGGGTTTGACTTTTTATCGCTAAAATTATCAATTTACAAGAAAATGGATATCAAAATATTCAGATAAAATGAGACCTACTTCAATCTCTTCACTATAAAGCTAGAAGCATTAAAC